AAAAAAAAAAAAAAAAAAAAAAAAAGAGGAAGAACTTAGAAGAAGAAGAGGACAAAAAAAGACAGGCTGTGACAGACTGTTCCGTCAGACTGTCGCACTGTCACGGACTGATCAGGAGGCTGAACCCTCTCGAGTCTGCAGAGTCCCCGAACCAATGATACTATGGGTGATCATCGACGTTAACCCCAGTTGTGATTGAGCATGAGCAACTGCCCCACAATTGATACCCTGTGGGCACCAACCACTTCCCTCAGGGCACCTGTGACGAAAATCGAAGCAGATTATCGCTCACCCACACCAGACGGAAAAGGCTACACACTTGCAGGTTCACACCCATTCATAAGCCAGCAAAGCTTCCATGGAACAAAGAATGGTCTGTTACAACCAGAAAATACATTGCGGACACACTGCTGGCGTTAGACGCACAGCATGGCCATGTAGTGACGGCCCTGACCACTGCCGTTGTACCTGACTGGAGAAAACTGTAGTAGGGAGCTAGCGAAGTCTATATACATATGTATATACAGTTCAGCCTCTTGAAGAGCCGATGAAACCCTAATTGAGAAGTCTTTCACAGGCCCCCCATTTTGTCCTCTTGTCCCTCTGCCGATAGTTCCCCAGGAAGTTCTTTAGGATGATATTTCTCAATTTGCATGGGTCATCGGTGTGCAAAGGCTGTGCTAATCTTCTCTGTATCTTTCCAATTTTGACTGGACATCCCAAAGAGCCAGGGTACGAGCAATCTTTAACAAATGTGACGCTCTTCAGGACAAGGCTTAAAATTGGAAGGATAGTTACAATAAACAGAGGATTAGCATGGCCCGGCAAGGACGGCACACTTTCTTTTTCTTTTTTTTTTCTTTTTTTTCTTTTTTTTCATTTTTTTTCATTTTTTTTCTTTTCTTTAGCCGTGGGGATCTAGTAGCCTACTCCTGAAAAATAGCCGCCACGTCGTCGTCGATATTTTTCATCGACGGCGCATGGCGACCGAATTTGAATTTGAGGCCCGCGGCCACACATATGAGAAAGGTAGTGGTGGTCTAACTTGAATGACAAAACACGCCTCAGGGTAGCAGGGGCCAGGAGCCACTAGCGCCATATTATACCATATGGGACAGTGGTGTGTGACACCCTTTCGACATTTGAAAAATGGTTTTCGTTTTTTTTTTAGATTTGAAAAACTCGCTTTCTGCTTAGGGCCCTCCCGTAAGCCAATGGGCTGTGAGCCATGGAATTCGTCGCCGCTTTTTCGGGCTGCGTGCTGCGCTCAGCCTCCTCTGAAGGTGGTTGCTGTCAGGTCATTATGATATTTGGCAGTACACACAACTTCTTTTTTTTTTTTTTTTTTTGTGGTCGGCCTTTTTGTGCACGCGAAGCACTGTAGCAAGGTC